TCTCTCATTCTCGCTCGCTCGCTCGCTCGCGAACGTCGCAAATCCGGGATCTCGACTGACTCGACTCTCTCGACGGTCTCGTAAGAAATATAAACCCTCGTCCGCGCGTGAGAGAAAGAGAGAGTATAGTGCGCGCTACGTAAAATCTGGTACGCGTACAGACTACAGACAGACGCGCGTGTGCGTGCCGTGTGATTTCTCCCGTTGGGCCTGTCCGCACTCCGTTGTCGCGCGCTGATAGCTGATAGAAGTTGATAGACAAGGTGCGGAAGAGGAATTAAGGAGGTCGTCGTCGCCACCGTCACCCTCGCCTTTGCCATCGTCATCGTCATTGTCGATCATCCGCGCAGCGCGCACCTACACCTATCGCGGAGGAAGAGAGCGAGAGAGAGCGCGATCAGCCATCATCGTTCGCTCAAGTTAACGAGGAGTCCATTCGTGAGGGATGTCCACCCCCGCGAGGAGGAGATTGATGAGGGACTTTAAGAGGTACTTAGTGCATGACGGTATTAACGTGCTCCATCCGTCCGCCCGCGCCCGTCCGTCCATCCATCCGTTCGAGTTCGATCGCGCTCTCGGGGCTCGGGGCACGACGACGCCATTGCAAGCGCAGCGGCTCCTGGTGCGCCCGATTCGCCTCGCCTCGACTCCGCTTCGATCCGCGGAATCGAGGATTTCGCGCGTGGGAGATCACGCATCTTTTGCGCGAATGTCAACCGCGTTTATTATTAGAAATGCTGTTCAATCGTCCCTCTCGCCGTCTCGCGTTCGCCCGCTGCCCCGACCCCGACCGCCTCCCCTCCCTCCCTCCTATTCCGCTTTCTGGCCCAATAAAACAAACCGTTCTTCATCCTGTCGATGGTCCGCGTGATACCGCGGGCCCGATACGTTCGGTCGTTTCTAGAACAATCTGGCAAATCATTATGATGATCTCACTTAACGTTGATTTATACTCGCCCGTTTTTGTATAATGTATATGTATAATTGAACGGGGCGTTTTTCTGGACACAATTTTCGTGTAAGACTTGTACAAGGCTCGGCGACCGCGAATTGTAATAAATTTATTAGGAGCGAATCGTAATTTTGTCATCAGCATCGCGCATGATTCGTCAGACTTTGCAATGATTAGTTCTATGACAGTCAATGACACTGTATTTATAGATTGTGCGTTAATATGTATGTACTTGGAATATAAGTTTGATTTATGTAAAAAAGACAACGATATCATCTTTAATATTCTTTTTTCTTTTATATGCAAAAAAACAAAGTTTTATATGCCGTTTTACGAGCAAGATAAGGCTCTAAAAATTGTTGTTTTTCCAAAGATTACAGGAGGATCCCCCAACTGGAGTGTCAGGTGCTCCGACAGACAATAATATTATGATATGGAATGCAGTTATATTTGGGTAAGACAGCGTGATTTTTTTTTATTTTACATTTGTTCTTTGATAACACTTGTGTCTCAAGGAAACGTTATCTTTGGTCAGAAATATATGTCTGCGTAATATGTATTAAAAGAGCTTAGGATACCTTCTACATAAAATTTAGCCTATAAAGTGACCAGTTTATCTCTTTTTTATTTAAGTTTCCAAGAGATAAGATAAGATCAAGTACTTAAACATTGAGTGTACAAAAGTTCCTTATGGTAGGACGTTTGTGTATGTTTCAGACCACACGATACTCCATTCGAGGACGGCACATTTAAACTTACAATAGAATTTACAGAAGAATATCCAAACAAACCACCTACAGTGAGATTTGTTAGTAAAATGTTCCATCCTAACGTGTACGCGGACGGTGGAATATGTCTGGACATACTTCAAAATCGTTGGAGCCCTACTTATGACGTCTCGGCCATCTTAACATCTATACAGGTACTATCTTCTCTTTGTTTTTGATCGCAAAATGTGTTTTGACGTTACTTAATTTTCCTTCTGATATTTCAAACAACTGGGAACTGAATATTACAAATCGTGGAATTTAATGAGTTAGTATTTTATGAGAATACGTAAATATGCACGACGAACAAGAATGCTTTTGATGTCTTTATATTATGTGGAGAGATTTTTTTCTCTCTTTATAGGTTGAT